CGATTTTTAAAATTTTCAAAATACTAAAAGCTATGCTCATTTCAGTTTTTCGCAACCAAAAACATATTTTTATGTATTTTTTTTAATTCTCTGCGTATTGTGAAAAAACGGGCGAAAATTCCGGGCGGTTTTTTGCGGTCACTCTTATAGCAAATAAAAGGAAAGTTTGAATACTACCAAAATCTGTAACGACAATTTTTTTAATCTACCAGTTTGAATATACGTATTTGTTTATTTAAAATATATTTAGACTATTTAAACTTCGACACCTTGTATCTTCAAAACGAAGACCTCAAAGACAAAAATTTTAAAAGAATTGGAAAATTACGATTAGTTATAAAAAATCCCCAAAATCTAGAAAATACAATTAATAAAAAAAAATTCCATCAGCAAAATGGGATAAATTTATTACTTTCTTTATATCTAATCAATCAGATGGATATATGCAAATACAACTTTCCCGTGAGCAACACTAACCTCGGATATTTCACCCGCTTCACGATTGTCGTTGCTGTCGTCACATTAGAGCATCATCCCGGGGATTTGTTCGTAATCCGTCTATGTGCTAAATAAATTTTCCTGGAGCCATCTGCAGTAGTCCTTGAAGAAATCTGGAAAAAAAATTATTACAAATACGATTTTCTTAAACATCATAAAATATACGGAGGGATTACTGGGACTACCAATTTGTACCGATAGTAAAATATATGTTTATTTTTATTGCTCTTCAATAAATTGCATCCTGAAACAAAGACGGCCTTAGAAAAATATACAGGATGTCCGGAAGTGAATGTTAACGTACCTTCTTCAAGGATAGCTTCCATGGACGAAAATAAGCCCATTTAGATCAGTAACATTTTGTTGTTAGACAAAAAATAAAAGAGTTCTACATCAGAGTTTTAAGATGACTTCGATCATGAATGATTATAAACCCCGTGATGTGCAATGTTGGTTGCCTAAGCTTGCTAATTTCCTTTCATTTCCTTTTTTCGTATCAACCACGAATACTATTTTTTAATAAGAACGTTGCGTAAAAAGGAAATTAGATTCCACGTAACCTATATGGGAAGTGTGTTTTTATTTTTTTTTTAACGCCTGCAAATGAAAACAAAGACGGCCTGAGAAAAATATACAGGATGTCCGGAAGTGAATGTTAACGTACCTTCTTCAAGGATAGCTTCCTTGGACGAAAATAAACTCAGTTAGTTAGATCAATAGCATTTTGTTAGACAAAAAAAGAGTGACCGCAAAAATCGCCCGTTTTTTCACAATACGCAGAGAACTAAATATAGAAGTCGGTACCTGCCACACAGTGTTAAAAAAAGATTTGCGTTTGTTCTCCTATCGTTTAACTTGTCAGCAAGAACTTCATGAAGTTGATTTTCCGCGACGGGCTGTATTTTGTGAATGGTTTTTAAACAACTACGGTGAACTTCATAATATCACCTTTTTTTCTGATAAAGCCTGGTTTCATTTAAGTTGTTACGTAAACTCACAGAATATGAGAATGTGGTCTTCTGAAAAACCAGATAACTTTTTTGTCGAGGGCCCTCTACACGCTCAAAAAATTGGAGTTTGGTGTGCTCTCAATCGAAGGAGGATTTATGGACCTATTTTTTTTAATGGTACTCTTACTGCGCAAAGGTATAGAGAAGAAATTATCGCACCTTTTGTTAACCAGCTGGAAGAAAACGAAATTACAAACTTTTACTTTCAACTAGATGGCGCAAGGGCATATACGGCAGGTGAGACGATGAATATGTTGAGGGAAGTTTTCCAAAATCGACTAATAAGTATCAATGCTGAACATGAATTTCCACCGAGGTCATGTGATATTACGCCGTGATTTCTTTTTGTGGCCTTACCTTACAAACATTATTTTTGAACTGCCTATTCCTGATTTAAACCATCTGCAGGCTCGACATATAGACAAGATTCGTGAAATTAACAATACCCCGAGCATCTTAGAAAATGTCTTTAATTCTTTGAGGAACAGGTGTGAAAAGTGCTTGGAACAAGGAGGGGGACACTTTCAGCAGCTGCTTTAATTTATTGTTATAACAAGGAGGGGGACACTTTCCGCAGCTCCTTTAATTGTTTGTTATTGTTATCACGATTATTCTTTAAAATAAAGTTATATAGTCATTAACGTTATATTGTTGATATTTTTGCTTGTAAACAATAAAATGTGATTATGAGAAGTACTTACATACATGTTACATTCGGATCACTGGATGGCATAACGAACATCAAACATCGGTTGACAATGTTGACATCGTTCGTTCTCGTAACGCCCTGAACTTGTTGGCTTTGAATTTTGAAAAGATGGACATATTCACTAAAATATTCAACAACACTCCACGAAACACGTTTCACTATAATTGGTACAACTAGTGCACTAATTTACATATGAATTTAATTAAAAACGGTGGATTTTTCGGCACAAATTTGAAATAAATTACGACCGTAAACAGAACCGACTTGCTTTCGCAAAGCAGAGGAAGAGGTATGCGCGTGCAGTGTTGCCAACTTGATTTTAAAAAATTCACTAGATTGAAACAGAAATTCTACTAAATTCCACTAGATGTTTATAAAATTTAAGTAAAAAAGTTTACGATTAAAAAATATAACGATAGGTTTTTTTTTTATTATAAAATGGTTCGAAATAAGATTTCGGTGAATCACACATGACGTAAACTTGAAGACATACCTTGCCCTCTGTCGCCCAATAACCGAAATAAATTAAATTTAAGGTATCTGGGAAGTGTTCTCTTTTCTGTAGAACAAAACGCGACTATTGACATTAACATATATATAATAATTATTATAAGGTAAGTTATCTATATTATAAAACAGATATAGTTTAGGTTTAACTTTTCGTAATAGAATTAATTAAACTTTTGTGTTTAGTGTTAATGAATTATTGAATAATGCAATAAATCTACTAAAAATTCCACCAGCTACTAGATTCAAACACCCTCCACTATAACACTCGCTAACACTATTACGTTTCATGTTAGATAGCACATGAAGTTACTCATACTGCATAAATAAAAAAGATGCTCAATAGAGGGGAATAAAGATATTTTCTGAAAACAGACCTTCACCCAAGCATAGTCTTTTCAAAAACTCCACTATTTTCTGGGAAAATTATATGTGGCCTATATAGATAAGGTATTGAGCTAGGAGTTGACATATTTTTTATTGCAAAATAATTTGTATTATTGAANAAGTTGTTGCGTCAAAATTAAAACATAATTTTAATTTCATTATGACAAATTAATTCTAAAAATTGCATATGAACAACCAAAACTCCAAATGAACAATATACATTAAAAAATTACAGTAAATGTTAAAAAACATTTCCGTTTTGGCAAATGTTGAAAATGAAACAAGCTTAATATGATCGGAATTTATTATACCTGTAACCGCAAGTGTGAAAGAGCATGTCATAGATGTATTTGTATGAATATCCTGAGAAAAATTTGATCGAAATTTGTTTGAATTTTGAGCACTCGAGAACCCTAGAAATAACTATGAGCACGGTATTAAAACTCAAATAATGTTTTACTGTAACGTGATGGTAATAGTTTAAATAACTAGGGGGGATTTCACAGGGTCTAGCGACACTTAAGAGTGTACGATAAATTCAATAAACATAGAAATCTAAATAAAAAATTTGAGATATTTGGAACGAATACGTTAAAGATGAATTTTTGGAGACAAAACGTCTGAATCTGGTTAGGGCTGAGGCAGTACAGTACTGCGGGTCATGAAGGCTTGCAAAAAATGAAATAAAATTTCCAGGGTCGTATTTAAACATATAAAAATGGATTATGCCATTCGATAGAGGGCAAAAAGTGTCCATGAGAAAGTGTTCTTCTTTTTTCAATATCACCTAAAACAAGGCTGAAATGAAACAAAAACGGATCTCCTAAATTTCGTTTTTTTTTCAAATATTTCGAAAACTAATCATGTTAGCCTTGATTTTTTGGAGACATAATGTAGGTCCCCTGATAATGCAACTTTGCCCCCATTTAAGCTATTTTGTATCTCTTACCGTTTCCGAGACCCGTATAGTGAGAAGCGAATTTGTAACGGCCTGTATAATATTACCATGTGGTTAAATTACACAACTTTGTCTTTAATCGATTCTGTAGAACAGAAAATATCGCATTAAGAGACGCGTCTATCAGGGGACAAAGGGTTGTTTTTTCCGACGTGAAAAGTGCGGCCTTAAAAGTTCAGGTCTGATGCAAGGTAACGTTTATGGGCATGAAACCAAAAACACAATGAAAATAAAAAAAAATGTTATAATCTTAAAAAAGCCTATTTTATCAATATTTAGAACTACATTCGCAAGTCACTTATGTTGAAAATGCTGAAGTTATCGGCTGCCGTCCTAGAAAGCAAAATGGTCGTTTTCCTGCATTATTACCTGTATTTACATGTTTTCTAAGAAGAATATGAACCTCATACTGGTAAAAATTGGGAAAATTTAAGTTACATTTTTCTCAAACACGTTGCAGTGCTCAAACCGAAGTCGGTAGGTATGTAATTCTCCAGTTTTCTCAGAGAATTCTGAAAAAATTCACGTAGACAATAACGGTCCCGGCCAATCTGAAACTGCCATCAGTTCCTCTCTAGCTTCACTTTCGCTTTCGAGATTTTTTTATATTTTTCCTTCCAGTTCTAAAGCTTTCGTTAGTCAGGCAACATACAATAGATAAATTAAAATTAGCGTTTATAATCTTAAATATACAGTGTGTCCCCGGATGGGACCCCTAGAAAATAGTTTATTCCTTATGGCGTAAAATAGTATATAAATATTAAAGTTAAACTTTTGTCAAAAACACCGATACCACACATCGAGTACGGTACCTTCGGGTATGGATACTCGATATGTCCTACTAAACATGTATGCGACGTATCGGCTACAGGTGACAACTGGGCGGGAACAATGAAAACACGAATCTTATTCCTATTATTCCTATATATATTTATGTAAAACCATTCCAATAGATCAATATAGTATTTAAATAAACTTAAAAATAATAAAAATACAAAAGTAACAAAGGCATTTAAGCAACCGACGTATTAAATAAACCTAAATTATTTTAAATACACACTTTCATGGGGTTAAATTCAATAAAACATGTTTTTAAATTACGGATAAAATAAATAATTATTTTAAACATTACAAGCACTCGTATCTATATAATATCAAATACGATATATATTAAAGCTGCTGTTGTAAGGTAGATGGCGCATCCCCATTACCAAAAAAAAAAAAAAAAGGAACAAACGTTAAGAAAAAAGTTTCTGGATAGATTCTGTTACTTCTGGTCCTAGAGAAGACACGGAATTTGCAAATTCCTCTGCAAAGTCTTGATTTATCGTTTTCAAAAATTCAACCAGAATCTTTTTCACATCTGAAAAAAAATTGGAATGTACAAAGTGCCCCATTATTTGACCGTTACATGGCCAAATTATACATTTGCGAACAGAGAAATGGTTAAATAGATAAAAAGCGGTGTTACAAATTCAATTTTGGAAAGAACAATTATATCCAAGGAGTTATTAGGAAAAGTTATTAATACAAAAATGGAAAAATTTATAGTAAAATGTTTTTTACATTTACAATTACATTGCCGTCTTCTCCTCAAACGCGCCATATTTCTGAAACAATATAATTTTTCCAAATCAGAAATATTAGACAACTTTAAAAAAACTCTTTTACGTGATAGTAGCCGATGATATGTTTAATTTAAAGTAAGAGTTATAAGTGCATTTTGGTTTTCTTATTACCGTCACCATAACGCCAATTATTAAAATTAAATACTGACGCATGAAATGTCTTAAAGGGGCCGGTTTAATGTGTAATTTTCAATAAATTTATAGCAGTCTTTTGTACAGAATTTTAGGAAGATCTAAGCATGTTAGAAGCAATATCTCTTCACTGTACCAGTTGTACAAGTTCTCTCCAGGGTATAAGATAATTTACAAGCTGAGGACGCACTTACGATTAAGAAAGAAAGCATATTTCTACCTCTTACATTTATCGTTACATTTCCTGCATCTTACATGCCCGTTGAACTTATAGAAAACCGTGTATACGACAGTATAAACTTACATCACACCCCGCAGAATGAATGCTTTTAACATATGGATTAATCACAATTATCATTAAGTACTTTTTACACAATTCTCGACAAACGAGGCCAAGCACATTTCCCGATGTTTATGTGGGTTTGATGATTTCTGTGATCTTTCAATACGAAAAATTAAAGGAATCCTTGGAAATTTCTATAGCTCTGATACAGTCGACAGGATGGTGATTTTCTTGTTCTATTACAATCTTACCAAATGTTGGATTTCTTGTTTATAAAACGCCGGCCTTAAGAGACACTCTGTTGAAATATATGTATACATATATAGAGTTTCGTTTTTATTTTCTATTTACTCGGCACTGCACTACCTAGTTAAGTTGGTATTAAACAAAGAGGTGCGCAAAAATGGCAAGCAACTAGTTCTCCGACATTAGTATTTAATTAAGGTGGCACGAGAAAAGGTCAATGTAACGATTCATTCCAATAAAACATTCGCATGTGCTGCTTAAATATTTATTTAATCCATAGGCCGCTCGTTGGTGTAATTTTAACGGCTGCAAAATACCTTTCAAAGGTGAGTTTTCGAAGAAAGAAGAAGTATTAGACAAAAGTTTGACGAGTTATACATGTTGCCACTTATTCCTGGGACACCCTGTATATACAGTTTTTCGTTAAGCTTTATACCTACATTTACCTAGGAATATGTAATTACGTACACGTACATGAACAGAGAACAGAAGATACGGGTCATTTTGGTAATTATACAGAAATCGATTGATACTAAAATTTTTATTGTTTAAACGAACGTCTTTGAAAGGTACAGTTTATAGGATTAATTAAGGAGTAACTTCAAAACGCATAAGAAAATGCACCTCTGAATCTAAAAGCTTACACATACATTAAAATGGGAGTGCTACAATCCAAAGATATTAAGAAGGGTGAATGTCGCCATATCCCCTTACTTGTATTTTTATTTTATAAAACTCGTTTACTACCCACAGCCACTGTAAAATTGACTTTGGCGTGCAAGTAAATATATTTTTGTGTCACCTTCTAAAGGCGGTTTTCCATCAAACGGACAAAACAAAAACAAAACACAAACTTGTGTCGAATAAAACAGAACTGTAACTTTTCGCAAACATTTTGAGGAAGAGTTTTGTTTTTCATGTCCTGCTCGAAAGCGGTCACATCAAAAGGTTTCGACGTGTTTTGAAACTCAAGTCTGTTTAGTGGAAACGGTCGTGTTGTGTTTTCTATTTAAGCGATCCAACCCAATATCTACGTTGGCGTTTTCTTCTTCCCAAAAACAATATTTTAATCATTAATGAATTATAGCTATTAAAAAATACATATGTGTACGGTTAAAGTGTTTACTTGCCAAGTAAACACTTTAACCGTACATATACCACGAACTCCATCGATGAATATCTGGGAAACCGCCTGAAGGATTTTTTTGAAATTGTGATGGCGTGATACGGACTGTGGAGCCTATCAAGCTAAAATATTTTCAAAGTCATCGTATTTCCCGTTATACCGGAAGTTGATAGTAACTTTCTTATTTTAAATGGAACCCCCTGTATATTATTGCAAAAAAATTAGGGGTTCCCATTTAAAAATTTCGAGTTTTCCACACATTCTGAACTTCTTATTCGATAAATTTTTTTTGACCACCCTGTATAAAAACTGGAAAATATTCCTGTCAAATTCGATAAAGCATGTCTTTCTCTACAAAATGTCCAATTGGCACAAAAAAATAAACCGGGAAAACTAAATTTTGCTGACGGTCTGCATCTGTCAATTTTTGTTTAAAAATCGAAATATCTCAGAAACGGTCAATCCTAAGTATGGCGTGTGCTATATGTTTTCAACTTAAAAATGGATGATGTTTCCAAAAATGCAATAATGTACAGGGGGTTCCATTTAAAATAAGAAAGTTAATATCGACTTCTTCTCTAAACACGTTTGATGGAAACAAGAGTTTTGGGTTTGTTTCTGTTCTGTTTTTGTTATGTCCTAGAAAACACAAACAGGACATAAACTCAACTGTCCGTTTAGTGGAAAACCGCCATAAATAACGATGCATACCATCCTATATTTCCGTACATACCTACGTTTCTCTTCAAAATTGAATTTGTCGCTTTAAATCTGCTTTACTTTGACTGTACATATAACCATTTTTCCGTCTTTCTAAATGACAAAATTAAAAGTTAGCCTGGTAACGGCGGTTGTCACGGTCCTAATCTATGTAAGCATAAGTAATGCCTAACGAAGCAACTAGATAATAATAATTATCGAAAAGTACCAGTTTTATGACCACCCACAAGTCCAGATCTGAGGCGATAATTTGAATTGACAGTCAATTGTATAATAATTAAGTACTGGATTCATGAGTATCAAACCGATATCGACACTAAGTAAGTAGCATTTAGACAATTCAATAATGTAAACGTTATTTTACTCTCTCTCTCTGTTGTTTTTAATTTAGCTAAAAATCAAACACATTATACAGAGCCTTCATAAATGATTACAAGCCACGCGACCGCCGACCTTAGAATAGGCAACCAACATTGTGCGGCTGGTACCGTCAACTGAAAATCTTCGTGTCATCGATATTAACGAGTCGTTTGGGACGACAATCCGTTGCGTCTTCGTTCTAGATAATGCGATCGGCGACTGCACGAATGAAGTGTAGTGAAAAATTGCACCGATCACCAGCAGGTGAAATTATTTTGTCTCTCTTATTGTTTTAATAATTTTTATTTTTACCGAAATTTAATTGCCAACCCGAAGGAAATAGAATTTATTCGTCAAGTGGCTTGTAATCATTCATGATGAATATTTTTAAAAGTCAACCTACCCTCAGTAGGAGATTGGTCCTTATAGTAGATGTGAACGGCAACTTTAATAACGTCCGACAAGTGCTGCCTAAGAATGGGATTTCCTTGCTGGTATAATGAGAAGAAGCATTTTGTAACGGCCTCGTTCTCTTGGAAGTCGTCCCTCAGTGGTAGTTTTTGTAAAAAGGCGGAGAAAACCTGTGAAAATTTTATTATACCGTGTTATGGCATACAAAATGGGACGCACATCGCGCACAACTTACTTGTTCTAAAGGTATCCCGCTCGGATTAACTATTATCATTTTAGCTAAGGCTCCGCAGATATTGTCTAATGTACCGGCGTGTGCTTCCTTTGCAACTGCCGAGGAGAGTGCGTGCAGAATTTCGGGATATTTACTATAAAACAAAAAAAAGAAAGATCAACGATTACGGTTACGTTCGCCGCTATTAGTAATACGGCAAATATGTACCTGAATACTTTATCCTTTCCGTACAGAATCATCTCCCCTAAGCCGAAAATGGAATTATTTCTGACTTCCTCCGACTCGTCCTTTGCGCCGGTCAACCACAGAGTTAGTAATGTCGGCAAAAATTTGTCTACGTAAATGCCCAGGGACTTCATGCATTCCGCTAACGTTCCGAAAGCAAAGGATCTCTGCCCGATGCTATTTTGCTTTTTCTAAAAATCGATACGACAACATTAAATATTCCCATGTAGATTGTATATTTACCGTCCTGGCAGACATGAGCTGTAAAATGTTGGGGAAATATATGGAGAAATCGTCTGGGGTGATAGCAGCCGCATATTTCGGAATCACGTCACCGGCAGATTCTAGAAGCAGCTCGTCCTGTTCCGCTTCCGCATCTTCATCGCTCATTTCCGTCGACACTCCTAAGTCCGTGTCCTGACACATGGTCTACAAAAAGGGTTGTCTGTTTAAATTTATATTACGTAAAAAAAAGCTACAAAAATAAATTCGAATAATTTTTAAACAAATTTCATGGTTTTAAATAACGGTTATTAAAATCTTTCAGAAATTAGGAATTCTACTAAACAAACTGAAATCAAACAATTTTATTTTTTTTTTACCTTGAGTGTGAGAACATCGATAACACAGTTCATAATGGCTTCTCTGTGGCCCTCGCCGACAAAGACATCTCCTTTCACTTCATCTAATAGAGTAGCGTACGCATCTAGACATACCATCACAACGCTTCTTTCCTCATCGATTCTGATGAGTTCGGCACATTTCGGAACAAACATTTGCAAGGCTTTGTAAAGAGCCTGCTTCACCTCTGGGGTATTGACCTTATGCAAAGCAATACAGAATTGAAGTAAAGCTTCAACAGACGCCTTACGGATGTCATCCTGAGGGTAATTAATTAGTTTGAATATTTCCTCGAAACTTTTCTCGATGTACGGCAAAAATGACGGTCTACAAGAAGAATGATAAATAGAAAAACTTTTTTTAGACCGATCGAAATAACACATTTAGAGGGAGAAAAAAAGAAAATTGTTTTATAAGTGGAAATGGTAAAGGTGCTTATAATAAACGAAAAAAAAAAAAATTAAAGCGTGGGCAGGGGTGGCGGAGGGTTGATTTGGGGGGTTGAAAAGTTGTGAAAAATAGTATCATTGGGATTTCTGGTGAAAGTTGACGTCAACCAAATACAAAAGTTGTAAATCGTGCAAAAATCTACAACTTTTGTAGAGGTCACTTTTTAACATAATCTCAAAATTTCCGAGAAAAATGCGAAAAACAGGTCTTTTTTGATTTTTCGTTTTTTATTTCTCATTTCCGCAAAAATAATTTAATTTTGATGAAACTTAGTGAATGTACATCTTTTTTAGATAAAAAAATCAGGAAGTTTCCGAGATATTCATTTTTCCGGTCTGAACACTTTCTTTTAAAAAAAAAAATCTCAAAAGTGCTAAAAAAATAAAAAATGACTTGCAACAATGAATTTATTAGTAATTGTGGATAATTTGTTTAAATTAAAAAAAATTCAAAAGCTGATTACACCATTCAATTGTACGGAGAAAATATAAAAAAATCCGTCCTACGAAAAAAAAATTTATTTAATTTATTCACCATTCGACTTTTGTTTATAGCAATCTTGTACAAAAATAAAGTTTAGGGTCAAACAATGACACAGTTTTTTTTGTATTTTTTTCCGTAGAATTGAATGGTGTAATCAGTTTTTGATTTTTTTTTCAATTTAAACAAATTATCGGCAATTACTGAAAAATTCATTGTCGCAAGTCATTTTTTATTTTTTGCATTTTCGGCCATGTTTTTGAACTGTGATAACAGATTTTTTGATTTCACCAAAAAGTATATGTCAAAAGGAAAAAAATGATCACCGGCTGAACTCTGCACGATGATTTTTCTAAGTAGAATTTTTTTTTTTTGAAATTGGAAATTTCTTTATTTTTTATTTAAAAAAGTTTGTGGTTATTTAAGACACAGAAAAGTATACTTTCACCAAGTTTCGTCAAAATTAAATTATTTTTGCGGAAAATCAGAAAAAAAACCGGTTTTTCGCATTTTTCTCGGAAATTTTGAGGTTATGTTAAAAAGTGACCTTTATAAAAGTTGTAGGTTTTTGGCATGATCTACAACTTTTGTATTGAATACTTTTTTGTTTGACGTCAACTTTCGCCAGAAATAATAATGATACAATTTTTCACAACTTTTCAGCCCCCCAATAATAATAATAATAATAATAATTTATTTTCCGTTAAGACAATATTACAATTGTATAGGAATAGTCAATACAGATGTAGGTATAGAGACAACAAAAACAATAAAAATAAAAATATAGGCAACACCCATAAAAGTCGATACAATTTACATCCAACGGATATACAATATAAAATTACTAAAACTACATACAGTACAATTATGTTAAAATCCAAGATAGCATCCATAAAAGTCGCACAGATTACATATATAATCAGAAAGGGTATAAAAAGACTTATCAAGTAAATAATTTTTCAAATCTCTCTTGAAATGTTTTTTATTTAAGCAAGACTTTATATGTTCAGGCAGCCTGTTAAATATTTTTAGTCGTCCAATGTATTTAGGTGAATTTTTTATTAAATTTATTCTAGTAAATGGAGAGTGAAAGTGATGTTTTTGACGAGTGTTATAAGAATGAGTATCCTCATTTAAATTAAATATATCTGCATTATTAAATACATAAATACATATCTCAAGAATGTACAGGGAGGTCAACGTTAATATACGGTATTTTTTGAAAAGTGGCTTACAGGGTTCTTTTAAGGCTATATCAGCTATGCATCGAAAGATTCGCTTTGGCGCAATAAACACTTTTCTTCCATTAGTCGAATTGGTCCAAAAACACACACCGTATCTCAATATCGACTCCACTTTTGCATAATATATATTAATTAATTGATTTATGGTAAGTACTGACCTCAAGTTTAAAAATAAAATAAATGCAATTTTGGTGAAAAAATTTTTTTCGGTCTATTTGGAAAATATAGTCAATAATAAAATAGTTGCCAAAATTATTGAATTAATTTAACAATGCACGAGTGAACTTTTGATATTCACATAAATAGAAACTAACAATAAGGTTGTAATGGGACACCCCGCAATAGGCTCCGAGTAGGTTCCTAAGTATCGATACTACCTAAGCAAATACCTAACCTGAAAGTATCAAATACAAAAAATTAAACGTTGAAAAAGACACACTGCACGAATATCATCTTGAAGGAACCAATTTTTCACTTACCCGGTATTTATGCATATTTCTCTAAGAGCTAAACAAGCCTGTTCCTTCTCTTCATTATACGAGTTCTCAACGGAATAACGACACTGTGTGGAATCTGCACTAGCCGAAGAGGAAACGTCTATATCCTCTTCGACATTTTCTTCTTCATCTGACGACTCAAGATCTACTACATCCTTTTCTTCTTCTTCGTAATGAGTCTATAAAAAATTTTTATACAAAGAAAGATTGGCAGTGTTGGATAAAAGACCGAGTTCGTACCACAATTCCTTCGCTGCTTTGTATACTCTCTATCATTTCATTAATAATCTTCGGCAAAGCCGGGCTAATTTCTTCCTTCATGACAATCGCTAAAGCGGCGAATAGCGCATAAACACTTTTCCTGATGTCGGGATCATCTGTCTGTCCTAAAATTCTCAATCCCAATTGTAGCGATTCTCCCGCTAATGGTTTGAAATTCTCGGGACCGATGAATTGGGCCACAACAGCCAAGGACTCTAACAAAATATAAATATACATAATATAGTTATCAATACGAGCTGTAACAGGAAACTGATAATAATATACCAAATATTAAAAAAAAAAGGTGTTGCTATTTTTAATACAGCGCTTTCATAAATGAGCTTAGGCAACCGACATTGTACGGCTGGCACTGTCAATTAAAAATCCCTAAATCTTAGTGTGATTCGTTTACAATGAACAATGACAAACCGTTATGTCGACGTACGAGATAATGTAATCGCTGATTGGCAGAGAATAGAATCTCGTGAAATATTACACCAATCGCCGGCCGATTAAAGGGAATATTGTGTTTTGCTTTAATAATTTTTAATTTTACCGAAATTTAATGGTTAACATAAAGGAAATAAAATTACTGTTCCAAACAAAATTCCTGATCAAGTGGTTCATAATCATTTATGAAAGCTCTGTATATTCTTTTTTCTTCTAATCAACTATTGGAATATCATTATAATGGAACAAATGTATATAAGTTATTATAAAAACACGGCGATTAATTCAAATTGGTTATTACCTATCGCGTAACACTGAAGTTGATGTACTTCAGAGTTTGGGTCCGAATTGATATATAAATTTAGGATTTTAATGATCCTCTCGAAGTACGGTAACATGCCTTCTTTCACAGCACTGGCCGCCGAACCTAGAGTGCTCAGCGCAACTCTTTTCAACTGCATGGAAAAACCATTCGGATCTAGGGCTACAAACAATCTCTCCATTAAAGTGGGTAGGTAGGGCATTAACCCTTCGTCTAAGTTTTCGCAGAACGTCTCGAGGGCATAAAAAAGGCGATCTAGACTTGGAGGATCCTTCTTTTCAACTTCCATTTGGGCAAACACTTGACCGAGGCATTCAAATAGCACCGGAAGGAGCTCGGATGCATACTGACTAATTTCAGGCTAGAAATTGAGAAAAGCATCTGTGAGAATGGACGGTAATTAGTTCGCCACCATCTAAGTCGCGAGGATTAAGTGTTACTCCCTCGTCACTTTTCTTATATTTGAAGAAAAGAAGAAAAATTACAAAGTTCTCCAAAGCGGCTGGGGATATAAATGCGGTCATAGAACTTCATAAAATTTTCAATGCAATTTGCAAAATGAAAGATTAAATAACTTCTTAAAATAACAAGGAACACCAAATGTCATATTATTTAAATGGATTGAATATCATGATAAACTGAAAAATTGTTAAAAAATAAATAAATTATTTTAAATCATTGCACAAAAATTAACAAAGGCAATTTTGAATCGAATAGTTTCTTTTTGTAATCTTTAAATAAAAGTTCGCTTAATTAAAAATCTATATATATATTGATTACTGTTATCCGAGTTAACATACAAAAACGTTAGAAAGTTTATATCAATTTTACTACATAAAAATCAAACACTTTCCTTCCTATTAAGAAATTTAATGCATTATACTTACTTGCAAATGTTCTGCAAACTGTCCTAGAGCAAATAATGCAGCGTTCCTTACAACCGCATTTGGATTATGAATGGCAGAACACACACATTTTAAAAACGCTTCTAAATACTTGTGCCTTATGCGTTCAGCGCAACCTTCTGCCAAAACGGCGAGCGACAGGTAAGCGGCCTTTTGCGCATAAATATCATTTCCTTGAATGGCTGGTTCGACCTTCGTTAAAATATAAGGGACGACTTTCTCTGCCGGAATATGCAGCGCTATCAAATCTAAGGTTTGCGTGGCTACAGTTATGGACGTAAACTGATCGGGATCTCCCAGAAAATATTCTTCGTTTCCCTCATCATCGGGTTGTTGCGCCATAAGAAGAATAAGAACATCGATTATCGGTTCTATTAATTTATTTTTCTGAACAACCTGACAACATGGGATTATGTAAGAGTATACAAATTGCAGTCGATAAGGGAAATGTCAATTTTTGAACAGCAGTGTGCATGTTGTAAGAAAAAGAAGGCAAAATAGTATCCACGCGATATGGAGAACGATAGGTACCAAATGTTTGGGCACAGGTAACATCATAAAAATTTTGGCACACCAACTACATATTGCTGCGTACACTCTTATCGAATTACAACATGCACGCTGTAATAAAATAAATGAAACAAAAATGATAAATTATACTGTACGCAATGTTATCAGTCACATACTTGAAAGATCAACATATGTTCGTAAATAGAGACCGACCGAATGTGATTTTTTTTTGGCCGAAGCCGAACTTCGGTTTATGGATCACCTTCGGCCCAAGCCGAAGATATTTTTATTAACTTGAAAATTTTAATTAAAACCAACATATTATACGGTAACATAAAAGTAGGTTAAAAAATAAATGCATAATGTTTTGGAAATATAATATCTACAGGGTGTCCCAAAACTCATGCAACAAAATTTGGTCATAGATTCTTAAGACAAATTTAGGGGACCCTTATTTTTTCTTTTTGCCTACTGGCCCCCTCTTTCGGAGTTACAGCCCTCTGAAATCTGCCCCTAAGAAGTCTTTTTTATATCTCAAAACCACGTTGTACGAGAATCACTAAATTTGGTACACAGGGGTTTTATGACATGTGGAATCTCACAGTGTTACGCTTTTTGGCGAGAAATCCTCTTAAGATACATTTTCGTGATCCCCCTTGTCTGTGGAACCAGAAAAATTTGGTCGCAAATTTGATTTTTCTAAAAATTATGAGTTAGCTAGAAAGCCATTGAATTTAGAAACTTTTTTGTCCCTTGATATTTGTTTCGTAAAACGCAATGTTTCCGAGGAAAATAGCGAATCGCAATATGCATTCGATCACATTACATTTTTCTCGAAAATATTGCGTTTTATGAAAAAAGTATAAAGAGACAAAAAGTTTCTAAATTTAATGGCTTTCTAGTGGACTGATAATTTTTAAGAAATATAAATATGCAAATGTACCATCAAATTCCACGTCATAAAATCCCCGTGTACCAAATTTAGTGATTCTCGTACAACAGGGTTCTGAGATATAAAAAAAAGATTATTCTTAGGGGCGGACTTCAGGGGACTGTAACTCCGAAGGAGGGGGGCCACTTGGCAAAAATAAAAAATACGGGTCCCCTAAATTTGTCCCAAGAATATGTGACCAAATTTTGTTCCATGAATTTCGGGACACCCTGTATAATAAACAATAATCATAAAACAGCAAATACATGAAACATAACGGGTATTATAAAAAAGATATAGAAAAATAAAGAGCATGACTGTCGAATGTCGATGCAATGGTTGACGCTCGAAGATAACGGCTTCGGCGAAAAGTTCCGCTTAATTTTGGCCGAAGCAGATTCTTAGCCGAAGGCTTAAATAATGGCCGAATGTGAACCGATTAATCGGTCGGTCTCTATTTGTAGAGTATCAAGCTTTGATTGAGAAAAATCTTTCTCGAATTAACCGTTTCTCGATTTGCCAGTTTCACTTGTCAACAAATCACTTGCTACATATTTTATTTGCGTTTCCTGGTCGAGACGTATTATTATTCAAATGTGTTGATTATTTTGTGGTAGCCGAAATTTAAAGACACCTCAAATAGCATGACAAGAAGAAAATATGCATTTATTTGAGACACATCATTCGTAAGATGTACTTACTTTCCCTTTAGATCGGATCAACCATCCAACAACACTAACAGCTTTGATCTGAACACTTTTGGGCATAGAATTGTTACTGCCGATTTGAAGGCACATCTCAATAATGAGTCTAACGTGTGGCACTACCACCGTAACGGCATACTCTATAAGTTCCTCTAATATTTCAAACATGTCACAACTTCTCTTTTCATCCTCTACAGACATATTATTGATGATTTCCAAAATTCTTGGCATCAGACTATGATAAACGTTTATCATCTGAAATTAAATAAAACTCTAGTGGTTTAAAATGACTGAGAATTTATTTTCAGATATTCTTTATTGGGCCCAAATTTAATAGATGATGCAATTGTAGACCCCAGTGTACAAAGGGGACAAGCGGCAATATGTAAATTGTTCACAAGACAAGTTTTTTTTTTAATTAATTTTTTTTTTATTCTCACACCATTAGCTAAATAAATACATTTGCATCTTGATTACAGTGAAACATTCATATGAATAATAAGGAATTTATATTTTTATCAAATCATTTGTGGTGCAAAAAACTAAATATGTAAAATTGTTAATCATTTTTCATTTTTAAATTTACTCTCAAGTAGTGGATAAATAACATTAAAAATGTTTTTCCGTGTTTAAAATTTTACATAAGTAGATGTGAAATATTTCCATACGTACTTTTTTTAAATATTGAAAATTCTCATTATTCTTAAACTTTCTCAAAATAACCCTACTTAGTTCATTCTATATTTTTGAATATTCACAAGAGCAATATTTTCAAAAAGTTACTATATTGTATATTTAAAGCAAATTTCATAAATATTGTTTGTGACCATAAATTTTGAATATTGTCTCCTTTACAACACCATACAAATCGTTAAATAAACAACTTTAAAAACTCTCGTAGTTCTACTACTTACTTGTTGATGTCCTCCTATAACGGGAACAAGATTTTTCATAGTAGTTACTGTATAATATGCCAAATTTGAATTCAGTTCAGTGATATTGTTCAAAGTGTTTGTAAATAGCACAGCAAAGGATTCAGCATGGACAATATATGAGCTTTGCGACATCTCCGTCATTATAGACAGAGTATACATCCCAAGCTGAAATTTAGAAAAAAAGTAATCATTCTTGTATCTACTACACGAGTGCCGTTAGTAGAGAGATGTAAGTAAGCCTTCTTATAACATTAATGATGCTAATTTATGATAACATCTAGTCGTTTTATTAATTGTTTAATTTATGCTTGTGCCTATTAGACGGCATACCACTCAAAGAGCAAAATAAAAAGTAACTTGTTAATAAGTAAGCAGAAAAGAAAAAAAAACAATTTTCACCTCTTTATCAAAAATAGTATCACTGCTCGTCAAAGTATGTACAAACTGCAAGATTTCTGGCCAAGTGTTATCGGGAAATTCATGTTTTCCAATGATTCCAATAAACTGAGCCACTGCATTTTTTACTAATCTCTCTTGTTCATTAACTAGGGCTTGTAACATGCCTTGCTTGATTCTAAAAATATTTATAATTCTTAATGAACATTACACACATTAAATTTTACACAGACATACCTGTTCCTTAACTCCACGTTAAGCTTGCTCCACTGCCTTTTCTTTCCAAGTTTTCTGCGTAACAGGACAGCAGCAGATTGTCGAATTTGAGGGTTTGCAGATGTTACAATGACATCACAGAGAGCAGGAATTGCCCCTGGTTTTTTAAAAGCCTCCTTTAATTCTTTGGTTCCCTAAATATAAATTTAATACTGAATTATCTTGATTTAGACTTCTGCACGTGGAATATGAGGTTAGTGGCTGATTAAAAAATTGTCCCAAAATAATTAAAAAAAAACTTACTTCTTGAATGGTCTTGCTATTCGCCACTAATAGTTTGGACAGAATTTCTTCCATAATGAGAGCAATAAAAATAAATAATTTCTAAAACAATAAATTATTTTTTGCCGGTTAAGTTGCATCAAAAGTGAAATCTAGAAATCGTTTCCTCTCTTCTCTTGACAGCACAAAACAGAGAAACACAGACAGATTACACAAAACCATAAAACCATCACAAACACAAAACCATCGATCTTATAGTTTATAGTACTATAAGATCGATGCACAAAACCATAGATTCGACAGTATACTATGGTCACAGAATTGTAGAGAGGTAAAAGGCCAAGATGTAAAGTGACATGGAAATAGTCTCGCGTCAAGTGACTTAGGGCAATTGCACGTTTATCACATGGGATTTGTTATATCCATTACATGGTATTAAGTGTTATTGCGTATATCACATATAGATTTGCTAGTAATATTTTTAATTGAATCAGTTTTTTTTAAAGCAATCAACCAGCTTATGGTGGCAGTGTAGACGTGTGACAGAGAGAAAGGAAGAAATAGTTTAGGTGCTACCTTTCTCTCTCGCGCAGGTACGTGATTGGCTAACGCAACTCCCTTGATAGATTTTGCGTGAAAGGGCCTCACCATAGACAAAACAATTATCTTCTGTGCCACCTCACAGATCACAGACGCCGTGCCATTGTGCGAATAGGACCGTACGGACCAAATCGCGCTTACCAAGAAGGCAAAGGATCTAACCGACAGATTTTGCACGACGGGGAAACCGCACCGCTTTTTCCTCTACACAGCGTGTGCCTGTCACGTGTCACGTTCATGTAGATTTGAGCGGCCCAGTTCACATCACAGCCATTGTTGCCAATGGCAAATAGAGACCGTATTCCTATCACGCACAACCTAAAATTTAAAAGCAAACAAAAATAAATAAAGCTAAATCGTTCATTTCATCCATGGGGTGCCCCATTACTTATTTCCAATTGTAATTTTACGGTTCTGGTCAATGAACTTACTATAATTCTCAGTAAAGTATCTAGATGGTCATATCTACGCAGATTCATGTTCAGATAGTAGGTAATATTTCCTTAATGTAATATACAATTATAAAAAGAAAAAAGGTTTGTCTAATTGGTGGTAGGACGTTGTGATATTACAGGTCGCTCCTCGCCAGAGTAGGGCGGAAATATCTCTTATCAAACTACCCATAGGCATAAAAAAGAAGCACGGAGGGGCACTGTGCGGCGCTTACCCTTAGTTTATAGTTTATACAAAATGTACATTTTCGAAGAGTGTAATACAAAGATGATACAGTAGATAAATATGGCGTTTTCCAAGCAACGAGTCTACTCGAAATTTTCAAATTTTGAAATGTAACTTTCGATTTATGGGAAATGGTTTCTCATGTTTTTAATATTTCAAGTCCTCTACTCTTATAGGTATATTTAATTAGAAAATGGTCTGCCATTTTGAAAATAATACGTTATACATAAAATTTTATCATTTAGAAATAGATTCACCCTGTTAGTTTTCAGAGGAAGAAACTATTCTAAAGAGGGTACATACGTTTTAATTTTGAATGACTAACTAAACTATATGTATATGTAGGTACCTACCTATATATCATGCATATATCTCTATTAACCAGTAAAATGCCTTTTTTATCTTTTGCGTAGGTGCCTACATAACAAGAGATAAGATAATCTCAAATTGATTTTAAATAAGTAATATTGTTTTATTTGTGGGTATTTGTGTGTTGTGATTGTGGATTAGCTGCATTTGTGTGTTAATAAAATGAATTTGAGGGGATGTGTTTCAAGAATAATTAGGTAGACGTTATAATAAATCACGCATAATTATTTATACAGAAAGGTGAGACGTTTTTCGAATATACACATATATTAAATACATTAATTAAATTGACATTACTATGAACAAATTTTTTAAAAAATATCATACTATAGTAAATAAAATCCTTTAGATATGTTTACGGTATGACAGTGTCCCTAAGTTCTTATCAAATAAACGTTCCTTGACAAAATATTAATATAGGTATTCTAACACCAGCTTAATTTTTAACTTCAATCTATAGAAGAATAAATTCGACTTTTTAAGCGCCGTCCTATATTCCTTATTTCAGATTACACAAGTTACATACCTACTGATTAAAATTTCAATTTCTACCAGTGGTTTAAAATGAATATAAGAAAAAGTTGCCTTTTTAAATCCGAAATATTTTAACTCTACATCATGGAATATACCAGTATTCAACTTATTGACCTATTAGAAGAAAAAAATAGATTTCGGTACTGACAGAAGTAGGTGCTACTAATAATTATTAAGTTAACAAATATTATTGCAGTTAATATAAAATATAATACCAATTTGCGTCTGTGATCACGGTTATTAGTAATATTTGATTAATATTTTACTATATTTTAAAAAATGCACAGCATTGTTCATCCTCATTTTTATCAGTACTGATAAGGTTCCAGGAAAATGTGATTATTATTTTAAGGGTATTTACCTATTACCATCGTATCGTTTTTAATATAACTTGTAGTTTTTGTTTTCTTTCTATAAAAATTTAAGAAATATAGATTACCTATATGTTTCATACTTTTTCTGTGCAGTATACCTACCTATCCTATATTACATACGTACCTATTACTTTTATCGCAGAACAAGTTCGAACACAGGTGTACCTACTATCTTAATTTGTGATGGAGGGCACAGATGATAAAAAAGTATCTGCAGCAAGCTTAAGAAGCATATCTGGATTGACTGATACTAGTTTTGAGGATGAAGCATCTGCAGAATTAGAAAATTACGATGAAAAGAAATGGAGATTATCGCATTTAAAGGTATGTATACAGGGTGGACTCTATGGAATTCTCTTTTATTTTTACAGCAATTTTCTAAAACATTACTTACAGTGTGGCCCATTTTGAGTCGGAACATACTCTTAACATTTTTTTTGGGATTCATGATTTGAGTTTATACATATATGTCACTCAAAATGAAGCGTTTTCTGACATATGTTTATAGGAAGTAATTTCAAAAATAAAGAAAGACTTGGTTAGGCTTTTTATTTACATCTTGTATTCAGAGTGCCCGTTTTTAGAACCGCAATATTAATATTTCGGTATGCTAAAGTTGCGAAATTTAATGAGGAATAACAAAAAAACTACAAATTTTTATTTTCGTTTTTTTTTTAATCTAAACATGAAGGTGGTGCGGTAAGAAAAACGGGATTTATCAAGTTTAAAATACAAACGCCAAATACGCCATACGATGAAATTGCTAGGAACATTTAGTACTGACGATCTATCAAACAAACCATTACCATCATTATAAATACTTATATGCATGAAAGAAGTTTCATTAGAAAACAAAATTGCAACATTTTATTTATACAGCTTTTTATGTTGTCCTAAATATAGCAATACGTAAAAAATGGCGGCAAACAATACATTTTATTCCGTACTTTACTTTCGCTGGTTAATTATTATTATTGTTTTAATAACTGTACACTACTACTAAAGATTTTTAACAAATTGTTTAATTTTCACAGGGAACAAAATAACAAATAATGCAAACCCATAATTCTCTTACAGAACCAGTTTGAATCATTAGAATTGCACAAGTTGTATGCAATATACACCGACAAGATAAATCATGGATACTTCTCCTTATTTTTAATCCTCCAAGGAGTGTTAAGTCTGACACATTTTTTAGTTTTAACATTTAGTAATTACCAGAATAAGGTAGGTTAATACTCTTAATATTTTGCATTAATTCGAATCACTTATGTGTCATTTTTGTATCTACTTTTTAGGATAATATGATCAAAGTGATACCAGATCTTATTTTATACATGTCAGTATTTGTATTATCTATGTTTGGGCTGTATCTGGTCGATAAAATTGTTGAAAAATACAAAAAACTTCAATATATATCTCTGTTAGCATTTGCAATACTATTTTTTGTAAACGCATTTGTGCCTTACTATCACAATATAAAAGATGGAAATGGAAATTACAGGACTGCTTACTCTTCGCATTTGATATTATCCTGCTACGTTTTCTTCAGCATACATGACGTTCTAGTGTCATTTGTAATGGGACTATTCGTTTCCGTTTTTTATATTATGACTTTAATTTTGACAACATACGCAGGATCGGACATGCTTTGGCAAAGGGTTAGTATTAGCAGATTTGTTCCTAGGGCATTTGAATCAGTTTCCAACAGTATTTGCTTCCAAACAGTGAATTTCAAACCTTATATAAACATTATACCTGAATGCGTATGCCCCTAACCGAGGCTCGCCTCTGACTGTCGGACACTGTTTTGGACTGCTTCTTATAGGAACAAAGCCTTTGAAAATTTTATGATAACTAATATGTATTTTATCTCTTATTGGTGTAGTCTGCATTTTAGGTGTTATCAGAAGTATTTTATTTGATTGTCATCAACGGACTTGGCACCTATTTTAGGTACATGAACGAAATAGTTATTAGACGCAGTTTTCTTGATAGACGAGACTGCATCATGTCAACCTTCCAACTTCGGCATGAAAAAGAGCAAGAGGTAACTACCTATTTTATTTTACGTCGGATCCATTTTATCTATTCTATGCATTTTCTTTTAAATACGTGTATACATAAGTTGTTCTAGACCAACTTATTCTACTTATCTATCTCACTAAATGACCTTAGCCGTGAGGGTGTATCAAGGTTTCAAGAGAAAGTAGAAAGCCTGCGGGCGTATAATATAAATTTCACATAGACTAAAAGAACGAAAAAAAATACTATATGTAATCATATTAGACTTTATATTTAATTTTAATAAAGTTTAATTAATTTTAATGTAAATATATTTTAGGAACAACTGATGTCTAGCATTATTCCTAATAATATAATGAAGAAAGTTAAACAAAATTATTTGGAAGCTACAAAGTACTATCTTCAAACTAAAAGATATCTTAAGAAGAACCCATTCGAGTGAGTATCCAAACATTTTGTAAATGTTACGAAATTTCTCATCTGCTGCAGGCATGACAATATTAAATAGACTAGATATAGGTTTACTCTTTCTCAACAGACAAAATCGTTGTTATGGTCGTAACAGAGCACCGCACATAGCACTACACGTAGCATCTTATAATAATATACATATTGTACAGCCATATAGACCAAGCAAATTAAATTTTTACTCGAAAAGACTTATCCGTGAGATTATTGTAAACTTATCATAATGGATCGTAATACAAAACATCTCTCATCTCGTGAGTAAAAAACTTTTATTAGCTAACTTTTTTATTTAAACAAAGAAGTGAGGAAAATTGTTTTTTTCACGAATGTATAAATTATTACCATGGAAAATACTTTACAGCGCTATATTTTCTCTAAACTGACACATAAATAGGTCTTTTTTAAATATGCAACAATTTATTTTTTATTGTTTTTGATAATTCTTCAAAGTATGCCAATAATATTATTACTGGTATCCAGCCGTCTGCCAATATATTCATTATAATTATTGTTTATATCACAAGAGGCACAACGTTAATTATATAAGCCAGGTTTTCGAAACTAAATAAACGTGGTCTTGTGGCTTAAAGCGTTACGCGTTGTCCTACTAATCTAAAGGTTCGGGGTTCGATCCCTGATGAGGTATGGTTTTTTTTCAATTAATATAATATTTCGAATGTAATTTTCTATCGTCCACATTTCAAAACAAATATTTCCGCACCAGTTGCTGGTCACGAAGTGAATAATTTCTCACGGTGTTGCCAATTATCTGTTGATTCGAGGCGCGTTAGATTTGCTTGTTAAATTCTGCCAGAAAATCCTGAAATAAATATAAAATACAGATAAGTAGGTATAAACATATACCAAGCAAATTAAATTTTTTCTCGAAAAAAGTCCTATCCGCGAAGTTATGAACTTTTATAATTAAACGACCTATTTATTAAAAATATCACCATTTTTTTTTTGACATTAACATTCTCAAATTGTGCATTAAAAAACCGTGCGTTTTTCGCTTATAAACAATTTGAATAATATTGTTGCTAATAATTATGCTATCTCACCGAAAATAGATGCAATGGATAATAGCTGGCAAAAAATAGTTCCAAAATAAAAAAAATACCCTCTACGACCAACGGGAGCCAAGATAACAACAATATTGGTTGAAAATTAACGCCTATACAGAGGCTTAAAGTTCATAACTTTTGGAGCCTCCGTTATAAACAAATAGAATTGTGCGAAAACTATTGCACCTACAGCGCCCGCTTTTGGCACACTTTTGAAGTATGACAAAGTCCTCAACTTGTTATAGGTTTTATAAAATTTTAACAATAAATGCGGTAGTTATAAACAAATTAAAAAATAGGCACTTTTCTTGTTTTTTTGCAATAACTTTTTTGTTTATTAACCGATTTTAATTTAACAAGTCTCATTTTGCAGATAATTTTACTCCCTACAAGCTGTCTGCGAGTCACTTTTCTTTAAAATTGATAGTTTTCCCTGTAAAGTGAAAAAACTGTTTTCCTCACTTATTTGTTTAAATAGAAAAGTTAGCCAATAAAATTTTTTGACTCACGAGATGATCTTGTATTATGATCTCGAGATGTCTTGTATTATGTTCCTTTAGATTTAGACAATTTTACAATAATCTCGCGGATAGTACTTTTTTCGAGTTTCTCTTTTATTTCCGCTAATTTTCCTGATGTAATAGCCCAACACAGATCTTTGCTGACTATTGGCCATACCGCACTTACAATTAGTGTTAGATTTTTATATCAATGAACATTATTATGATGGTAAATACGAGTTTTTCCTCATCTTCATACTCGCATAAAATTATATTTTGTTAAATTGTAGGGAGCGCTAAATCTAGGAATACACTTGTTGCTATTCGTTAGATTTGTAATTAATATACTCTATAATATGTATTATATCTGTTTATATTATAAAAAAATATATAGGCATAAAGATAACTTTATTTATGGCAAGATTGATGCACATACGAATACTTATCATACATATAAAAATTACTCATGTGCCCCTGAAAATTTGATGTGATGCAGAATACAATGTCTATAACGTAACACAGATTATCTAATTTATTTTAGGAATGCATTGCTTGACAAATGTAATAATGTGACTATTCTATTTGCCGATATTGTACATTACACGGAAATGACATGTAAATTAAACATAACCGATCTTCTGGAAACACTCAACGATTTATTTGGTTGGTTCGATGAAGCTTCTGAGGTAATGCAGAATAGGGTTTTAAGTACATATAATAAGGTATAAGGTGAAAATTAGTGTAAAATTAAGTATTTCAGACATAAATACTCATATTATGGTTGTTATCAACAGTACGAAAAATGTTAAAGTGTTTATGTGAAAAATATTTTATCTTATGTTGTTTTCTCAGATATTTTAGGGCTACTGCCCGCCTTGTCCATCCCAACAAGCCGCCACTGGGAAAACAGTATATTATTATAATTTGAATCAACACGAAAAATGTTAAGGAAATTTTTTTTTTATTTTTCTGTTGATGTCCACGATTTTCTAAAGAAAAAATATTGTCTATATATAGCTGCTACTCATAATAAGGGAAGCTTTTATCCATACTTTTTAATAGATTTTACCGTTTAACAACGTAATAATTAATACAAAATGATGTAATGATGTTTAAATGTATTTTCTAAAGACTATAGTACCTACTTCTATACTAAGTATATTATTTTTAAATAATGCACCAAAATATTTGTACTGAAATTAACAAGATCATTTGGAAATAAAATAAAGCTTTCGTTGATATTAATTTTATTTTAGAAATTAAAAGTAATTAGAATAAAATTTCTTGGCGATTGTTATTACTGCGTTGCTGGATTACCTCCAGATCCTGCTCCCAATCACGCAGAAGCGTGCGTGGATTTAGGATTGGCGATGATATCCATAATTGCGAATGTGAGGTGAGTCCTTGATAGATTTCTCTCGCATTACTTGTTCAGTTAAAGATAACAATAACAATACTATATTTTATACTTATCATTCAAAAAATATATGTATTTATTCCATTTATTAAATTAAAAAAATACAATTGAAATAAATTACATGTCAGTAGAAATTTTATTATCATCATGAAATTGCAAAAATTTCCTAAGATTTGGTCGTCACAATTTATTCCTAGATAGGAAGTCAAAAAAGACAAGGGAGTGAGAATGAATGCCCTTGTACAAAATGAAATATGCTCACCAACACCGATTTTAATTTGCTTACGTTTTCTAGGCAAAAAAGGAATTTAAACATCAATATGAGAATTGGTGTCCATACTGGTAAAATTATAAGTGGAATTATTGGAGCAAGAAAGAACCAGTTTGATATATGGTCTAGAGACGTAGACATAGCAAATAAAATGGAAAGTGAAGGCAAACCTGGGTAAGACTTAAGTTGAATAAATAAATTGCCATTCCATCATCATATTACATATTATAAATAGCATAAGTTTAATTTATTAAAGTTTTTCTTGTGACGTTAAAAAGCGTTCTTGTGCTTTAAATTATAATTTTTGTTATTTTATTTAAAAACGCCCTGTACATATTCTACACAAATATCTTTTCGTTATTGAATAAATGATCTCTTATTTATTTTCAGAAAAGTTCATATCACTAATACTACGAAAGCTCTGCTTGAAAAGCCGTACCTCATTCATTCCACAGATAAAGGTGAAACAGTTCAGCAATTCAAACAATACGATTTACAAACTTTCCTAGTGTCACCGGTAAGTTTTCATTTTGTTCTGTTTCTGATATAAACATTAGTTGAAAAAAAACATCGTTAGGGATCGAACCGCCAACCTCCATTTTAGTAGTTATGATTATATGCAACCCTCTATGCAACAGAGTTAGCATGTTTAATGTTTTCGTATCTAAGTTAAAATTATTTTGAAATATCTAGTTGATTTTGTTATGGCATAAACAACGAATAAGCAAGTATTGATAAATCCGTGCTACTGAAAAAACACCTAAATGAGTCCTATTAAATAAATTGTTGCATATTTGAAAACGGTCTCCGATTAAATTGGATTGGTCGTTTTCTTTTTCGTATTGTAGGTCTGTAATGGTGAAATAAAATGTTATGTTGATTCATGTTGATTTTGTGAAATTCTAGGGCTTAGGCCCTAGATTAGAGAAGTTAAATCTCTGTTTTGTTACAGTCTTTTAAACTTCTTATTTCAAAGTAATAGATTGTAACAAGCAACAATTTTCTCTAAGAAGTCCTCAGTGGCCACGGAGATCAGTTCAACTACATATATGTAGTTAAAAATATTTTGAAATATCTAGATACTTTTATTATGGCATAAAACAACACAAAAGTAACAAAAAAGACCTCGAAAAGGACCATTTTTAATTTTACTTTCTTATGCAAATAAGTAACCATTTTTCAATTCTCCCAATATTACGTAGACCTACTTATCTGTATTTTATATTTCACGATTTTCTGGCAGAATTTAACAAGCGCCTCGAATCACCAGATATTTGGCAACACTGTGAGAAATTATTCACTTCGTGACCAGCAACTGGGGCGGAAATATTTGTCTTGAAATGTGTACGATGGAAAATTACATTCGAAATATTATATTAATTGAAAAAAAACCATACCTCATCAGGGATCGAACCCCGAACCTTTAGATTAGTAGGACAACGCGTAACGCTTTAAGCCACAAGACCACGTTTATTTAATTTCGATAACCTGGCTTATATACTTAATGTTATGCTTCTTGTAATATAAACAATAATTATAATGAATATACTATTGGCAGACGGCTGGATACCAATAATAATATTATTGGCATATTTTGAAGAATTATCAAAAACAATAGAAAATAAATTGTTGCATATTTAAAAAAGACCTATTATCTGTCAGTTTAGAGAAAGTATAGCGCTGTAAAGTATTTTCCATGGTAATGACACAGAGTACCCAATAACTCTGTGGTAATGATTTATACATTCGTACCTATATAAAACGCTCTTTATTACGGCGCTTCTTATGTAATATACTGTTATTTATACCTATACAGGGTCTAATATTTCATCGACTCAAAAATGAAGGATCGATTTCTTTGTCCAAATTTAAGATTTAAGATCCTTTTTTTATACATATTACTACATTTGACTTTTCACGTTTGAAAATTTCCAAATCTGCCACTTTCTTTTCTTGTAATAAAGTATATTTTTCTCTATTCTGAAGAAATTCACCTATATTTCAAGCCTTTGATTTTCTTTAGTCAGAAAACAACGAAGGCAACAGGACTGTGCTTTTTCCAGAGCCTAATGGTACAGTTACAAGTCAACGTAGATCATCACTTTTTAAAAAGCAAAGACAAGGTTTAGGCAATGGAACAATTTTATTGACACAATTACAGAACGCATCAATTCAGGAAGATGAGGAGAAAGATCCCGCCACCGCGTATCTTACAGTGACAAAGGGAAGTCTGACTAGTAGCTTGTCGAGTATTGACGAGAATGGAAATACAAATGACAGGCTGTACAAAAGAAGAATCAGTAACGGTCCACACAGAAACTCAAAATTAACGGATGACAGGCGATCCACGGCAGATCTAAAGAGGCGAACAGCCTTCATGAATAATAATATTAAAAGATACGCAGAGCGTACTGTAGCTGTAAATAAAGAAATGGAAAAAACAATTGCGAACATAACATATTCAAAATACGAGTAAGTTCTCTATTATTCATTTGTCAGATGAAAACGAAAATGAGAATATGAGCTTTAACGAGTATTTCATTAACTTATCAGTAAAAGCGCAATTTACAGGCATAAGACCTCTTTTATGCACGCGTTTTTCTCCTCTCAACGCGGAGTTGACAAAAATGCCGCGTTTCAAGATACCCTGAACCGAGTTACTACGTTTATGCATTTTACGCTCGTTTATGCATTTTACGCTCGTTTATTTCGCGTTGAGAGGAGAAAAACGCGTGCATAAAAGAAGTCTAAATTTCTATCCTTAACTTGAGGCAAATAAATGGTATCCACACAATTAACCCATCCAAATAACAATAACGAGTTGCTTATGAACACTATGAACTAAGGATATAGAAAAAAAACCGTAGTGGATGTTTTATGGAACGTATCATTTTTTGTCGAATTCCCCTATTTTGTGCTTCTTTATATTTACCTATGTATTATTAAGTCAACTAAGCGGGTAATAAAAATTTACAATAAAAATATATTATTCGACAAACGTTTTCAGGAGTTAAATGGGTAGTTGTTAAAACTTTGGTACTTAATTCTGAGACACACCGTATGTCTTTTAATGGGAGCTTCTAAGTTATATGTAATAGGTAATCTTATTATTTCTTCTTGGGAAACAATTTACCCATTTTATAGAACTTTAGGAATTTATAATGATAATAACCCCAGAATAGATGTATCCTTTATTATCAATACAATTTTTTATTTTTTACTTACAGGCAATATGTTAAAATGAAGGACATTAACAGCATTTTCCTATGTTTTACTTCGAGAAAAAACGAATGGGGCTATATTACAATACCAGATCCACTTTTTAAGTATTATTTATTAAGTGCAGCAGTTTTAATATTCTTTGTGTACATAATACAGAATTTAACTTTATCGCAGTAAGTATAAATAGATAATATATGTATTTCTATATAGTAAAGGGTAGTCTTGATTGACTAGTTAAGAGAAAAACCAATGACATATTTGGGATGCAATCAACAGTGCTAAGGGCTGGTGAAACTGTGTTTGTCGTTAAACTTCCGGAAATGTTTCTTGCCCCTCTCAAGGCATAAAACATGATATTGTATTAAAAAACCATCAAAAAAGGAGAAAGATGTTGATTCGCTTAATTGTTAAAGTATAGTTAAAGTATTAAAAGTGTAGTCACTTTATTTAAAAACAATTTTGTAGTCATTATACACTTTTAAACATTATAGAAGTGGGGAAGGAGCAATGTCACTCAATGCGAACCAATTTTTTTATATCAACAGCCCTGATATACAATGATCACACCACGGCAGACACCAAAAGTTTTGTATTTTGTATTAGATGGACTGGCATAAAAATCTGAGCATCTTCTGCTCATCTAAATAAAAAAAAGTTTGTATAAATATTTGTCCCAATTCAGTGAATTTTTAATATTATTAATATTTCTCAAAAAGGACATGTATGTTAAAATTTTTTTTTTTCTTTTTAATTTTGCTGAATAGAATGCGCTTACCAAAGTAGCGTCTCACATTTTTTGTAATACCCCCCTTTGTAATAATTAGAATTATGATAGACACTTTTTAAATTATAATTATTGTTATTCATCTAGACATTTTTTCAGTTGGGGTTGGTCATCATGGCCCTTTCTAGCGACACAATTTGTGATTATATTCCTATTTCTGCCATTGTCTTGGACACATTTTCTATGGAGCCGATATGTAGCAAATATCATGGATGATCCTCCAAGGAATATATTGATAAATTTTTTATGTAAATCATCGAAGCTTGTAACGAACAGTTTCACGGTTCGACTTGTAATATTCATAATAATCTATATCTGTTTTGGCGTGTGCATACTAATGGAGTTGGTGAGTATATTTAAAAAAAAATACACTCATATGATCAACCCTGATGGTGTTTAATTAATGGGTGGGGAAATTTATAAGATTAAAATGATATTATAGAAATGAGTGTACAGTCTGTACATTTCGATTAATAATTATTAGTGACAAAATTATCACGCGCACGTCATTTCAATGACTAGAAACAAAAATATACACAAAGAAAATGTATTACTATGATTTGGGTCAGCCTCTTCAATAGAGCTTGTCTCTTCACAATTAATTTTTTAGACTTATATCCTTTTGTTTCTGATGATTAAGTATACTAAAATATCTAATAAATCACTACATTTGTATATTTCATATTTGTTTTATCCCGTTGAATAATATTTTTCAAAACTACTATACCTACGCTTTTTAATTACAGATCGAATGCGAAGGTGAAGCTGAAGGAGGGCAAATTTTTGGGGAGAGATATCCTTTTTTTTTATTATTTTCAAGTCGGCGAAAATTTCAAAATAATGAATATTGCATTATACCCTGGGTAAGCTAAAAGAGATTTTGCGTAATTAATAATAATACCTAATAATAATAATAATAATAATAATAATAATAATAATAATAATAATAATAATAATAATAATAATAATAATCCAGCTTTTGACATCTCTTGAGCTTCTTTATTTTCAGTCATTTATTTCACAGCTAATAATTGAAAACGTCTATTTTTTTAGCACATGACGGAATCCTGTATATTGGCAGTTGTAATGACATATTTATTTTTGAGGATATTCCTTTGGATTAAATTGCTATTTGCTGTCATCACTGTAACTATTTACAGTTACGGTGTACTTAGTTTCAGTAAAGGATTCTATGCGGTGAGTATGTAAAAAGAATTGACCTTTTTTGTCCTCCTAACTAACGTTTAATAATTATTACTAATTGGAGTTAATAATAAAAAATTATCTATTCAGAGTGTTGCTGATGCTATTTTATATTCTAGACTTGTTGTCAGTTCTCGAACAGCAGCATTTTAATTTTTTGTATCTGTTTTAACGGTTTTAATACCTGGAATCGCCTTTGCAAAAAATGGCATAATTTTGTTTTATTAAAAGTAATGCATTGTAAATATTTGCGGCAACACATTCAGAAATACATAATATTTTTAATTTATTTTTTAATTGATACTTAGTACAAATAAGTTTAGATAAATTAATTGGTCTAATAGTATTACCAATTACAACAATTGAACATGAATTTAAAAAATATAGACACGTAGGTGGCACAAATGTTTCAAATTTCATAGTTATTTAAAGGTGGCGTTTTACATATAGAAAGAAATCGCACTTTCATTTCAGTAAGACAAGGATTCCATTAATTTTTCGCAATGAAAGGTCACGGAAAATATGGGGCCCCCATCGAAATATACTTCATGCGTTAATAGTTCCATAAAAACATTTTGTGGTGTGTTGCACTGTACGCGATTTTCTGTATATTCAACAGAACATAACTGATTCAATGAACACAAAAATTTAAAAATGTGGATTCTTTCATATTCCGAATGTATAGTCACCTTGTAAATTGTCTTAAGAGTATATCCTGGAGAAAACTTGTACAACCTGTACAATGAAGATATTATTTTTAACACTCAGATTCTCTAAAACCCTCGTCAAAAGACTGTTATTATTTTATAACAGGAAAGAAAAATATTGTGGAATGAAATTAATTATGGCCATTCCTTTTTTTAGGGCAGTGAAACATTTAATTACGGCTTGGAACCACAAGTTGCTCATATTTTGAGTGTAGTTTTTTTCACGATGACTCTACATTGCATAGATAGGCAAACTGATTATATGAATAGATTGGACCATCTACTCAACTTGAAACTAAAAACTGAACAAGAAGAGGCGAATGAATTACAAATAATTAACAAAAATCTGTTGCTGAATATTCTGCCCAAGCACGTCGGTATGCATGTACCTATTATTGATTAATTAATTTTTAATTTTTACTTCTACAAAAACATTAATATGTATCTAGCTTAAAAAAAAATATATTACACAATATTTTGGTTTATTATTTGACACCTTCCGCAATGGTTACAGTCAAGATTGCCATGCAACCAGTTCATATTTATGCTTTTCCGCTATTAAATTTAGTAAACAAATCTTTAAAAATTTCATTAAAAAAACACTAATGCAGGTGTTTCATAATAACCTCACTGTATTCTAAATAAATTTTTGTTATGAAGTGATAATTTTATGATTCCCAAGAAATCCTAATTTAATCCCCGTGTAATTCTTTCTGTGGGAGATTCTGAAAGATATAGTAAACAAACATTTAAATTATCTAAGGGAGAAAATCATCATCAATGAGGTGGGTAACGGAGCATTACAAAAAAAAAATTGCTTATAATGTATGTACTTTGTCTAACTAGAACAGAATGAAGGTTTTTAAAACACCGTTTAAAATAAGATATTTAAAGATTTATTTAGCAAATTTTACATTGGAAAACAGACCCATACAGTGGTTAGTTCCACGGCAAAGGATCAATAAATAATCAAAAATATTGTGCGAACTATCAAACCAAAAGTTTGATTTAAAGATAGAAAGGTAACGGAGAGATGGAATATGCACAATGCTATGTGATTGATTTTGTACCCATATGTAAACAAAATTTTATTTTTCAGCTAAATTATATCTGGATGTCAATAGAGAAATGAAAGAACTGTACTACGAAAACCACAACGATGTAGCTATTATGTTCGCTTCTATAATTGTAGATGACGATTTGCAAGAAATTTTAGGAGATGAGCATTTTCTTATTCTAATGAATGAATATATCACCTCGTTTGATACGGTATGGTACTTAGAGTTTAGAGTGTTCATAACAATTTCAATGTGAAACTTCTATAATTGACAATGTCAATAAACAGGGTGATAAAAAAAAAAAAAATTTGAATGTATATGGGACCCTTACAAATACAATTTAGTAAAAAAAAAATCAAAAAGGGCAGTTCGAAAATATTTAAAAATACACTTCTGTACAGCACTGGAAACTGATCTACTGTAAAACCTGCCCTTGCGCAAGGCAAAGCATGCGGTTGTAGACTGGTACGACGGCAAAGTGTAATAAAAAATGAACGGACAGAAAATTAAAAGAATTTTTTTCCTAAGGAAAGAAATAAATAAAATTTTATAATATTTAATAAAATTAATTTGTGGTTTGAATTAATAAGATAATTTAACATAGGTATCTGTTGTTACAACAACTGTTGAAAATTTAGTCTACCGAAGTGTTGGGGCCGTCGTCGTACCCAGTTTGTATGTAAAAAAGTACAAGTATTTGATTTTCCAATACTATTTATTATTCCATATTTAACCAATTCTGTTCGCAAATCTTACAGAATGATGTACTCTTTCAGTTAATTAATAGGAAGGAGTTCCGTACTATTGAAAAGATAAAAGTTGCCAAATGGACGTACATGGCAGCGTGTGGTCTGTTTCCAGGAGGAAAGGAATTTGAAATAGAGAGACATGTGACCAGCGCGACACTGGAGACACTCCTCAGCTATGCCTCAAATATGTTCAAACATCTTAAAATTTGTAACCAAAACATGTACAACTGTCAATTAAGAATAGGTAAGTTAGCAATGGATTAGCGACATTCTAATCCGTTTAGCCTTTACGTTGTCGGCATCACAATTCCTTCATTAAGCGTTAGCCTGGCACGTGCACACACTATACAAGATGTTTTTTTATTAGCATCCTCTATACATTTTTAAACACTGAGAGAAAATAAAAGCAGGGAACTCTCACCATTTTCAAATATAAAACAAACATTATAAGCTAAGGCTTTAAACTTATGAAGACTTTAAGCACTATCACTACAACATACCTACACATATCACATACATATTCCTTCATATGGCATAGTAATAATCTTCTAATGTCTTATTATGTAACATTGTTACCCTTTACATAATGTACAGTCAAAACTTTGCTGGTCATTATTATATTATTTACTATTATTGGGGCAAAAAATGTTAGAAAAAAATATACCTATTCACCGTGTTTTTTGTTCTCTCTTGTTCTAGTAAAGAATCGATTTAAAATAATATGGATTAAGCGTTACGCGTTTTCCTGGCACTTCTGAATTTCAAGGAACAATTCATTTATACAAAAACACAGACTTTCACAAGAACGATTTTTGAAATGATAGGTACCTTTTTGAAATGTCTATTCACGAATTACTTACTGACGGTACAAATAAATTGGAATAAACCAAATATATTTTATCAAATTATTGATTACCTACTATTGTTTATAAACAAATTCAAAAATAAAATTAAAATTCACACAAAAAAGTCGTTTGTGAACTTTACCAACGATTCATTATCTTTTTATATATATATATATATATATACATATTATATATATTATTATATTTTCCGGGAGTTATACGTGCAAATCCGAAATCCAGAACAATACAGCTAATTCCCGGTACAAAAATTGAAAATCTCGTCCATGCCCATGTGGCAATCCTATATAAATCTACCAGATGCCATAAAAAAAATATAAATAAACTTACCAAATTGACGAACTGCAGTCAAGGTTCTCAGATTTTTCGTTGCCTGTTCATTGTGTTTCCATATATTATCCCAATATGCAGAATCTAACTGACCACAAATTACCGAACTATTATAACTGACTTCTAAACAAAACAGTGCATTTTTTATATCACACCCGCACACCCACTCTGTTTTTGTGTATAACGAGCGTTCAAATAAAAACGTGGTCGAAGTTGGCTCTGACACATTGGACGTAGGGAGTAGCTTATACCGACCAACTTAACCTCATTTCTCAACGAGCTGTATAGCAGCTGTCAGTTTCAATAACGTTAATGACTATATAACTTTATTTTAAAGAATAATCGTGATAACAATAACAAACAATTAAAGGAGCTGCGGAAAGTGTCCCCCTCCTTGTTATAACAATAAATTAAAGCAGCTGCTGAAAGTGTCCCCCTCCTTGTTCCAAGCACTTTTCACACCTGTTCCTCAAAGAATTAAAGACATTTTCTAAGATGCTCGGGGTATTGTTAATTTCACGAATCTTGTCTATAAGTCGAGCCTGCAGATGGTTTAAATCAGGAATAGGCAGTTCAAAAATAGTGTTTTTAAGGTAAGGCCACAAAAAGAAATCACACGGCGTAATATCACATGACCTCGGTGGAAATTCATGTTCAGCATTGAGACTTATTAGTCGATTTTGGAAAACTTCCCTCAACATATTCATCGTCTCGCCTGCCGTATGTGCCCTTGCGCCATCTTGTTGAAAGTAAAAGTTTGTAATTTCGTTTTCTTCCAGCTGGTTAACAAAAGGAGCGATAATTTCTTCTCTATACCTTTGCGCAGTAAGAGTACCATTAAAAAAAATAGGTCCATAAATCCTCCTTCGATTGAGAGCACACCAAACTCCAATTTTTTGAGCGTGTAGAGGGCCCTCGACAAAAAAGTTATCTGGTTTTTCAGAAGACCACATTCTCATATTCTGTGAGTTTACGTAACCACTTAAATGAAACCAGGCTTCATCAGAAAAAAAGGTGATATTATGAAGTTCACCGTAGTTGTTTAAAAACCATTCACAAAATACAGCCCGTCGCGGAAAATCAACTTCATGAAGTTCTTGCTGACAAGTTAAACGATAGGAGAACAAACGCAAATCTTTTTTTAACACTGTGTGGCAGGTACCGACTGATACTCCCACCATTTGTGATAAAACACGTACAGAAGTTCTTGGCGCATTTTCCATTATTTGTTGGACATTTTCTTTTAATTCTTCAGTCCGCTTTTTAGGTCGGCCGCTTCCTTCTTTTCTTGTTACACTGCCCGTTTCACGAAAAACATTAACACAACGCTGAACTGCACTTTGAAAAATTTTGTACTCAACAACGCCGGGAAATTGATTTTGAAATTCTATGAAACATTCCTCAATAGAATACTTCCATATTCCATCAATCTTGCGTCCATTTCTAAAGTAGGACTCTATGATAAACACTTTTTGTTCTTGAGAAAACACCATTTTAAACGCTTTTTAAAACGAAAATATTCAAATTGATAGCGGCGATATAGCGCTTTGACAGATGACGTTTAAGTTCATTTGCTATACGCTACGACCTACGTCCAAATTTTCAACGCTCGTTACATTATTGTTAAATTGTCTTTTATAACTTTTACATCGGCTTGTTCCACTAACTTCAGTATTTAATTGTGGTGTTGGCCTAACTTTTTATTTTTAGTTTATCCTCATAAGACAGAGAACCAAATACAGTTTTTTGTAAAAACGAAACACAATTCATTTTAATAACTATAATATCCGTAGACGCCTAAACGAAAATATTCAGACACATAAGTCCATATCACAGACACGACACAACAATCACAACATCATAGAAAATCACAACATATAAAACAATTTGCTATGTCACAGACTCCATTATATTTGTGTACTGGGTCACGTGCCTGATCACCCAATAGAAACAAAGGACTGTTCGCTGTGCACACATTTTGTATATGAGGTTGCATATATTAAGGGGCGTAGCTCGCGTCGTAATAAATAATAATATAAGCTCCTACATTTATTTTAGCGCGAGAACATTTGGATTCTTTAAATATTTTGTAGATATTTAACATGATTAAATTCATAAAATTTTATGTGTTCTACAGCTTCGCAGCTCTTATGGTAAAACTGCCACTGCTGATTATTAATTAAATCTGTTTAGGAACTTTGGAATTAAGACTTAGAATAGGATACAAAACTTAATGAAGCTTGATTATATATTTTTTTACCATCACCATAGGAATTTCGGAAATTGATTGCTGAAAATTTAGCGACAAGTCTATCTAATCGTATTTGTCTAACACATCATACTCGTGACACTCATGTTTCACAGTGACAGTAAAAACGGCGCTCTATCCAAATAATTAAACATATATCTGTCAGCAATGCAACTGTTCTCATATAATTCGTTCACGCCGTTTTATTCTCGAATGTGAAAAGCATAAATCAAACAATCAGAAATGGCACATATATGTATTGTTGTAGGTATCTGCCATGGTCCAATAGTCGCTGGTGTTGTCGGATCTAAAAAACCGCTCTACGATATATGGGGAGATCCTGTCAACATGGCATCTAGAATGGACAGTACCGGCATACCAAATCGCATTCAAGTCATGGAGAACACTGCAGAAATCATTCAGAACCTGGGATACATTTGCGATTATCGGGATAAAATTCGAGTAAAGGGTAAAGATGATCTCGTTCGAACGTACTTCGTGAGGCTTGACGAGAATTATAATTTGGTAAAAAATGTAACCGCGGAAATTGATGATGAATGAATGAAATAACTTATTTATTTTAGTATAAGAGATCTATTAATTTTTTTAATCGATCACTAAAGAGCTTTAATTATTACATGGCAATAATATTTTATATTGGTCAGTGAAATTAAATCATGTGAATATGTTTATTTATATTTTTAAGTGTAATTAAATATATAATATTAATTTTATAGATAATTTTACTCGTAACCCTAATAAAACACAAGTTGATCTAATTAAATGCGAAGTAAACTTTCACAATTAATTATCACCATATCAAATAATAGTGTCCCACTAAACACGAAACGTAAATGAAACGTTGCAAATGAGATGTTTTACTAAACATTTGAAACATTTTATAGAAACGTTTCTGTTTCATTACAGAAATGTAGCACTTGAAAACTTATTTAGTGAAACACAGCCGAAACATTACAATTGAAGAGACCTTTCGATCTCGGAAACATAACAGACGAACAACCCTTTGCTATTTTTGCTTATCTTATGGAACAATCGGCATTAGTTAAATTTTGCTCTCAATCCTCAATCCTTCTCAAGCGTTAGTTCATTTGCCTTTGTTTATATAAAGACATAATTAGAAAAAAAAAGTGGTAGCATATTTATAACACGTCTAAAAAAAATGTATGTTCGTGACTTGCGTAGACTGCGCGTAACAGCCCGAGTTTATTTGTTTCCCGTGTGCCGTGTATCGTTTCAATTCGTATTATGTTAGGTTAGGTTTGCGGTTTATCAGTTTGCTTGGTTTCGTTGTTATTCATTTTTACTTTGACGCTATTTTATGTGATAATTTGTAGTGTGTGCAGTTGTGGTTATTGTAAGGTGCATATAAAATAATGAATATTAATGCAAAATGTTTAAAACGATATGTGTAGAGATTTCCAATTTTGCGTCACATCTACCTAAATCTAGTTATACCCACTACCTATTACAGACAAGAGGACAAGGGACAAGAACTAAGAAAATGGAACAACAACTATACTACTTAGTCAGTGAGAACTATTTGAAATATGGATGAATCAAGTGAAATAGACGTCATTTATTTTATATTTTGTACAAATGTTTATATTTGTTTATGTGTATAGGCATGTTTAAATAAAAGAGTTTAGGTAGTTACCTACAGATATTTACTTTGTCAAGATATCATTTTGTATCCTTATTTCTGCTGTATAATTTGTTATTTTTAAAAGGTATATGTAATATTGACCATATGCGTAGAAGAAATTATAACTTTATATTATTTTTCAGTAATGTTATTTGTTTTTCATGTACCTACCATTTCAAGATTCATAATATAACTTTTTCTAATTATCAGTTCGTCATTGTTACCATATTCATGATGGTCTCAACATTAGAAAATTTCCATTTCAGAAGCGTATTATTTGAACAATATACAATGTGTAGCTTTTTTTAATGCTTCTGATATTGTTTTGTGATATTTTTATTTGTACGATGAATGGCAAAATTCGTAATCCATATTAGTAACTTTTTTCAGTGGCTTCTCAAAAAGAAAGAAATTCTTAGTAAAAGTTGCCGCATCCCCAAACTAGAAGAGCATATTTATTTTTTTTAATATACAATGTAACTTTTTTTAGTTCGAATTAAGTCATTCACAATACAAATAAAAATATCACAAAGGAGTATTAGAGATATTTAAAAAAATACACTATTTATACTACATATTTCAAAAACGCTTTTGAAATGAAAATGATCTAAAGTTGAGAGCATTATGAGAACAATATGGTAATAAAATTATTATGTTACTCAAACATTTCTGAAAATATACTGAAACGTAAAACAAAAATATCGAGGGCATAAATGGAACATAAAAAGAATGTTACTGAAACCAATTTTTTGAAACGTTTCATTGGAAACGTATTTTGGGGAGGACATCTTGGGCTTCTAGAACGTTACCAGAAGGTTGCATGGATTTTTTATGAAACGTTTCAAGAAAAATGGAAACGTTTCTGAAACATGTCAGAAATTGAAAAATGTTTAGTGGGTTAGTATATTTGTTAATTGGCATTTATTAATTTTACACACATCACCGGGCACACTCACAAAGACACAACACAGTTAAAAGTAAGAATTTCACTTAAACATTTGTTCATTAATAACTTTCTCCATAAGACACACGTTTTCGTAATAAACAATAACGTAGAATTGATTACTCATTAATTAAAATTAAACTAGTAATTTTTCTGTTTACCACACAAAAAAAAGACGAAAAAGTGAACCGTATGCCATTTATGGTTACAACCGTCGACGGGTTTTCTATAAAACTGTATCAACAAAGGTAAAAAAGAATTTGCTATTTTTTTAATTAAAATATCTAGAACGACAAACGTATTATTGTTTTCTATTTTCAAAGTAAATTTAATTGTTGGTTCTTAATTATTAATATTGTCTAGAAAAATATTTATTCCTCAATGGGAAAAGACCAAATTGCAAAAATGTCATCTACATATCGCGTGTTATTTCAATTATTAACGTAGTTTTCTTCAAAAGAATCTAATATTACATTATGTAAGGTACTTTATAAACTTACTGATAATGAAGACCGCATTTGCCATTCCGAAATATTGTTGATAAAATTAATTATTTAATTGAATATACCTATATGTAGTTTTTATACAAGTCCATAGGCACACGTTATGGATAATATTATTCTGAAAAAAATAATAAAAGTAAAGATCCAAGTTGTACACATTTTATTATTTAAATATCATACAACTGTTTTAGACTAATATAGTATGTTTTTCTAGATACTATTTTATTGATGTTACATTCGTCAAATTGCAGGGCGGTGATGTTTGTACAAATTGCACAACTACAATTATGTAAGTAGCAACGGCAGACATGATCTGGAAAAAAAACATTTTTAAAGCAAATAAAATCATCGCTACAGAAAGGTACTTGTGTCCTGTTATCAGTAGGGTTGACATAATTATTTAGAAAAACTAAGCAGAGTGCCCGGGGGGGGGGGGGAGGTAAAAACAGAAAATGCGCCACAGGCAAAAATTTCTCCACTCCAATGCATCAGCGCTTTAAAACGGCGACTCTATACTTCTCTAATCTAGGAGCGACTTCTTAAACTTAATTTGGGACATAAAACGGGATCCAAATTTGTTTGCGCGACCCATTCCTTGTCTACACCACTGAACTCTATCTGTCGCTATCAGTGGTCTACACTCAATAGTTGGGAAATTGATAACAGTGATGTTAGTTTATATATATATATATATATATAATTATAAATATTATAATGGTAACATTGGCAACACTGTACAAAATTAGGTTATCTTCTAGTTGATCAATTTATAATAAATGCAATGGCTTCATGGGCTACCTAATGGCATTAATGGCAATGCATTCAAACATTGATTAGTGTAATAATGGATGATTAATTTTTATTTATGTAAATGTCTACAATGTGGAGATTATGTTTGGATTTGTGAGTTATTGAACCAATGCAGGTACATTAGAAGATGATTCGCAGAAAGAGAAAGTGGAAAACTTGAAAACGATAAGAATGAAGTCATTTACATTTGTATGCTTTACCATAACACTTTTTTTTTTGTTAAATAGGAACTTTATTAATTCCCAAAATATAAATCGTAATGATATTGCCACAGAAGATATAATAGAATCACCACTGTGTTGTAACCTAACGGTGGAACATATAGATTTAGATTATAGTTCAAAAATTGTACAAAATGAGTACATTGTTATGTTTAATGGTTATTATAAAAATCAAGCTCGTGTAAATTACATTAATACTGCATTAAATGCATCAGGTATAAGAAAATGGAAAATAATAGCTAGAGAAAATCCTGCAAGTGATTACCCTAGCGATTTTGATGTTGTCGTACTTGAAGATACTAACAAGTTAGAAGGATTGAATGCTCTCAATGATCATCCAGCTATAAAAAGGGTGACCGCGCAACGTATGGTTTCTAGAACCCTCAAATTTATTAGCCCGGAATATATAAGGTTAGGGAGAACCAGCTTGAATTCAAAGAATCAGTTTTGGCAAGCAACAGGTCGCCATACAAGTAGAAGATTATTACGTGCTATTCCACGACAAATTACTTCAGTTTTACAAGCCGATTCATTATGGAATATGGGAATAACTGGTAAAGGGATTAAAGTTGCAATTTTTGACACCGGCTTGTCGAAAACTCACCCACATTTTCGAAAAATAAAGGAAAGAACGAACTGGACAAATGAAAGAACTTTTGATGATGGCCTAGGACATGGTACTTTTGTGGCAGGCGTGATCGCATCTAGTAAAGAATGTCTAGGTTTCGCACCAGACTCAGAGTTGCACATATTTAGAGTTTTCACTAATAACCAAGTGTCGTATACTTCATGGTTTTTAGATGCTTTCAATTATGCAATTTTAAAGAAAATAAACGTATTAAATTTAAGTATAGGGGGACCAGATTTTAAAGACCATCCTTTTGTTGATAAAGTGTGGGAATTGACGGCAAATCGTGTAATAATGGTATCAGCTATAGGTAATGATGGTCCCCTATATGGGACTCTAAACAATCCCGCCGATCAAATGGACGTTATTGGTGTGGGAGGAATTAATTTTGAAGATCAAATTGCAAAATTTTCTTCCCGCGGAATGACGACATGGGAACTACCCCAAGGTATGTTAAATTTCATAATAAAATCAATTTGTCTGCTTATATGAAGGTTCTTTTGGATTGTTGTGCCGTGGCCTACGTGCATTGCACTTCCTTAGCTTTAGACAGGAATCTGTGATCTGCTCTTATTTTTCTTTGGTCAGGTAATTAGAGGGCAGGCCCGCTGTCGGAACCACTAAACTTATTCTGATGTTCATTTTGGTTGTTGTTGTTGGTTCTAAGGCCCCTTCGGACGGAACCGTTCCTCAGATAATACTGGTCCTATGAGACATTCTGCAATCGTCTCAGTAACTGGTCGTGTCCAATGTTTCCATTGTGTTACTTGACTAACTGATTTGTTTAAGGTTATGGGCGAGTTAAACCAGACATTGTAACTTATGGATCTGCCGTAAAAGGATCTCACATTAAAGGTGGTTGTCGGACGTTGTCCGGAACCAGCGTAGCGTCTCCCGTTGTCGCAGGTGCCGTTACGTTACTAGCTAGTGGAGTTTTACATCGCGGAGATGTGATTAATCCAGCTAGTATGAAGCAGGCGTTAATGGCATCCGCCAGGAGATTACCCGGAGTAAATATGTTTGAACAGGGCCATGGAAAGCTTAATTTAATGAAGGCTTATCAAATTCTCAACGGTTATAAACCTCAGGTATTGCAATTAAAATATTCCGTTTTTAAGGACAAAATTGTTATTTTAATCTTTCACAGTACTGTTGATCTTAGCATGAATACTTAATTCGTTTTAGGCAAGTTTAAGTCCAAACTACATCGATCTCAGCGAATGCCCTTACATGTGGCCTTATTGCACTCAACCTATTTATTACGGATCGATGCCCGTTATTGTAAACATTACCATTTTGAACGGTCTGGGGGTGTCCGGTAAAATAGTGAATAAACCGCAGTGGCACCCATACACCCCACAACAAGGGCAGTTACTAGATGTGGCCATATCTTATTCGGAGCTTTTATGGCCTTGGTCGGGCTGGATGGCCGTACATTTGTCTGTTGGAGTGGAAGGCGCCACGTATGAAGGTTTAGCTCACGGTCATATTACAGTTACTATAGAATCACCACCTGGATTTGGAGAAGCTGAACCCAGACAAAGTACTGTGAATCTTCCTATCAGGTACGGACCATTATGAAATTAAGTTTTCCCGTAAAGCTAATCTTTAAAAATTAATTAATAAATTATATTATTAAAACTTATTCTCTCTTGCATTGTGTACATTCTGAAAGTCTAAATTTCTATCTTATCGTCGTAATTAAGAGATAAATCCGAGTAGGATATTTTTAAGTTAATCTATTATTTCAGAGCAAAAATAATACCCACACCTCCTCGACATAAGAGAATTCTTTGGGATCAGTACCACAATTTGAGGTACCCCCCGGGATATTTCCCAAGAGATAACCTCAAAATAAAAAACGATCCTCTCGATTGGAACGGAGACCACATACATACTAATTTTAGAGAAATGTATCAGAATCTACGAAATACCGGTTACTATGTGGAAGTTTTAGGTAAAACCTTATTTTTACAATTTACATTTAGAGAAAAGTTAGTACAGTGAGTTACTGTTATAATAATTTTTTTATCAATATGCAGTGAAAATCGGTTATAAGGACCTTCAGGGGATCGTTTGTTTACGGTTATTATAACCGATAGACGTAATAAGCAATTACATATATTTTATTTAAAATTTTTATAGAAAAAAATGAGAAATTTATAATACAAGTCTTTAAGTATGGCATGCATTGCTCTATGTTCAATTGCTTCATTTTCAATGAATTGTTTTCTTATAGAGACTTATTTCATTTCTGTCCTTTCAAATTGTTGTAATCGTAGTGTGACACGCCACATTCATTTGCTTGCTTGCATTAGCATATAATACATATAATATAACTGTATGCGTAGATAAGTCGTAATCTGTTCCAAACGTACTAATTGGTGTCAAAAGCGTGCCAGCGGGGCGTGCGGAAGAGCGGTGCATTGATTTTAAGACCGTATATATCACTATTAGTCGTTATAACTGATTGATTCTGTGGTAGATGTATGTAAAGACGCGTCGCTAAATCTGAACTGTCGTTGTAAACGATATTTTTAATATGGTATTTCTATAGGATTAAATCGGGACTTCCAAATTCTGTCGTTATCTCCGATATGTCGTATAAAGCAATGTCATTATAACCAATTTTCACTGTGCTTCTGAAAGGTAATAGGACGAGAATATAAAAAATGAAATGTATTGTTCTTCTTTGATAATATACTAATTTAAATGAAATGTAAAAATGACGTAATTATTGAAATAAAGCGTGTCGTGTATTCGGTTGATATTTTAGGATCACCGTTAACCTGTTTTGACGCTTCCCAGTACGGTACACTCCTTATCGTTGATCCGGAAGAAGAGTATTTTCCAGAAGAAATATTTAAACTAAAAAAAGACGTAGACGCAGGTCTGTCGATTATAATATTTGCCGATTGGTATAACGTGACTGTAATGAAAAAGGTGAAGTTTTACGACGAAAACACCAGGCAGTGGTGGATGCCCGACACAGGTGGCTCAAATGTACCCGCTCTCAACGATTTATTGGCCTCGTGGAATATCCAGTTAGGAGATAGGGTGTTCGAGGGCCATTTTAAGCTAAACGATCACGAAATGTACTATGCTTCCGGGACGAGTATTAGGAAATTCCCTAAGGACGGTATCATGATATCGCAGCATCTAATGGATCAAGGAGTCCAGGTAAAGTTTCCATCATTTTTAATCTTGAAGGAGAGAAATAGAAAAATCACAGTTTTTGGATATGGTTTTTTTTTTAGATTTTAGCAGAAGTCGACGATGAGAAATATAAAGTTCCGATACTAGGTCTGTTGCAGACAAAGTCCACGGATAAAAGTGGACGAATAATAGTCTACGGCGACTCGAATTGCATAGACGCGAGTCACCTAGAATTGGCTTGTTACTGGATGTTAGATGCCATGTTGGAGTACACGTCGACGTCCCACCTGCCTTCTGTGTTCAAAGACAACAGAATGTTGAATTCGGAAGATGTGACCGAGACCGGCCATCCCCTCAGGATGGAAGGAAACCGTCTATATAGGTACTCTAAGGTGTTGGCGGGTAATTTGGGAGAGTCCCAGCCGAGGGCTCTACCCCAGTGCCCTCATCTGGTGTGGTCCCATCCGATTCCGTTGAACGTGTCGGCCCCCAGCAATTTGTATCAGTCACAGAAATTGTTGTCGCTCATAGAGGAGGTGAATTTGCCGCTGCACAACCTCGATAATAGCATTAAGGGTAAGTGATTTGTCTGTGTCGTCGTTGTCGTTTGTCTAAATGGTTGCCATAGAACTTTTTTTTCAAATTCCAATTTTAATTTTGATTCGTACTCAGTTTTAAGAAATATTAAGGACTCTATTTAGCAAAGGACAATGCTTACATTTAATGTTAGATTAACTTTTTATAGATGCTTCGGGACATGATAAGAACGCCGAGTTTATCGAGTGGAGTTGGCGGAATAAGCCGGTAGATTCGATACATAAGCACGACAATTTCGACTTTAGTACAACTGTTTTAGTGTTAATAGTGTTAATTGTACTGTACTACTGTGTTAAATCCTCCTATAGACCTAAACCCAAAAAACGGAAGGTTTACAAAAGACTTCTCAACATAGTGCAGTGTCGGAGGATATCCACAGTTTAGAGTTTCACGGAGAATTAGTTGGTGTTCTAAATTTATAGAATTTCCAACTAATAACGTACCATTGAATTTCGAGGCTGGAATTAGAATTCATTAGATTCATCATACTATCTTACTTGATTTTTATAATAAAAAATGAACTCGTTCCAACATGTCGGCCGTATTTGTGTTATTTTATGAATAATTTGAAACTGCAATTCACTGCATCACCTTGTAATGTGATAAAAAAATGTTAAAAAAGTTAACTTGGACGAAATATTCCAACATTTTCTGGCAAGATGCTCTCGTTAATTGGAGAAATAAAACTTTTATATGATCAGTGGCTACACAATGACTGGAGTGTTGCTTTATATATTTTCATTTAATTTCTGGAAGAATATATTATTTTTCTGTTCGATATGGACGGTTCCCCTATTTCTGTGTCGCGAGAAACCAATGTGCTACTCTGTTGGAAACAAAATATTGGACGCCTGCTCCCTTTCAACGGCAGATTTTTTAGCGTTTTCTTTTAATTACGGTTTTGCTCTATATTCACAAATATTAGAGGAAAGCAAAGGGAATACCACCAACAAAACCATCATTTTAGTTATTTTATAGCCACTCTTCACAGACAAATCTTTAATTCGACTATTTAGCCAAAAATAAAACGGAATATTTTAATTAAGAAAAATTACTAATTGGATTTTTTCTTTTAACGTCCAAGTCTGGTATTGCTGTTATAAACGTTAAAGTTATATATAATTTTGACTTTTCAAATAATATCTTAATGTTAACATTTAAAGGAAATCTTTGATTGTATACAGGGCGTAACTTTGAGTGGGGGTCATATTTACACTGAAGCTACCTTTGACCTTTAGAAACACGTATGAATTGTTTATTTTTTAAAATTCCGTCTTGAACTAATTATATATAACTCAAGTATTTATTTGATTAAAGAAAAAAAAAGTTAGATTCGTATTCAGGGTAACATACTGTTACCCGTAAAAAACTGACCCCTCACCTAAAGTTACAACCTGTATGTATAAAGCATTTGGCCCTACCCTGACTACTGTAAATTTTACACCCAAGTGTAAAAATTATACTTACAGCTCTGTATTTATTTATATTATATGTATTTATATCTAATTGTCCCCCTGTTATGCTACATAATATATTGTTAATTCATTTTGGAAAATATAGTTGAATACAAGTTACTTACAGCAAGTGTTTGATTTTTGTCAAGAATGAAATATCCCGCTGCGGAAACCTGGATTGGTCGAGCAACTAGCTGAGTTAGGAACACGTTTATCTGGAACAAGGAGATCCCTTTAAAATTCGCGTTTTACCTTCTTTCCGGATTATTACCTCCAGTTGGCATTTTTCAGATATAGCCGTAGAAGGTATGCCGTGCAGTAAGTTAATGACTTCGGAACCCTAAAATAATGTCTTACTATAAATACAATTATTATTATTATTATTATTATTATTATTATTATTATTATTATTATTATTATTATTATTATTATTATTATTATTATTATTATAATGAAAGTGCGGCCCATTAAGAACCCCTCTACAAATGTTTTTGAGGACGCTCATTTTAATAGGCTTTTCGATGGGCTCGCTGAACTGATTATGATGGTCTATTTTGTAATCCATGGCCTGCTGCAATTTTATTTTTAGGGTGACCAATTTTTGTAAAATTTGGTAAAGAAAAAATGAAAGTAAACAATAAATATCTTTTCTTCCATCGATCTTTTTTTTCCAAATATTAAAAAGTAAAAACATTTCAGTTTCATTACGTGTGAAGGGATGGTTCTCAAAATAACGTTTTACTTACAGTTTCCTTTAAAGATTCCGATGTAAAGATTGTGTTCATTAAAATGACTACATGTCCGAGTGTCAGAAACAGTAAATGTATGTCATGGTTGCTTTCATATAAAAATACGCTGATACTTAACACGAGAAAAACTATCATGCATAGGTGATCTATAGCGATGTAGGTTCCATAACATTTTCCAAGCTCGTGAACACACTCGGATAACATGTTATGTAATGTCCGAACATCTGCAAGTGTTTGGTGTGTGTCTGAATCATATTTGATGACTGTGTTAAAGTAATCGTGCGTAATGTTACGTAGTTCCAATGTCTTATTGATTTCTTGGAAATTGCATTTGATCTTCACTGCAAAATAAATATATAGAAAAGATGGATAAAGTTGCCATGTGGTCAAAAAACTGAAAAACACGGATACCAGCGAACTAATGTACATTTCCTTAATAGTGGGGGATAATATGCTTCTAATTAATTCAGATGAATGATACGATGAAAGAGCAAGTCCTACTATTGCTGCTGATTTTGAAATTACAGTCTGATAAAGCATTGTGTACTTTCCAGTAGAATAAGTGATTAAAATTTTGTTCTTTTTTTGGTCGAATGTATCTAAAAGACGTATCAGCCTTGGTAATTCTCGGTACTTACGAAAACAAAAAAGATAAGAAATAATGGATCTGCCAGTTATAGAACATACAACATAAGTAAGATACTTTTCTGTTTCAGGATTATATAATATAAAACCTGAAATGAAACAAATTATAGAAGCGTAGAGACAAAATATTATTAGGGAATACAAGAAAGAACAACTAAAAAATCGAAATTGTAGATGTGATGTGTCCAATGTTGTAACATTTTGTATGGGGAAAACACCAAACATTTTTAAAATAATTGCCACTGGACGAAAGTACCAGTAAAAAGTTTTCATATTAACAGAATCATAAACACTATTAAACCGGAATACTTAACACTACTATACTAATTACAAATTCTACATTATCCCTTATAAACCAACAATGAAATTAAACATTACCAACTTTATCTTGATATAAAGCCATATGGTGTGATTACAGAATTGCATACATTTTAATGTTACAATAATAATAAATTTATCGCTAAAATTTTGATGTTTTTTTTTGTATTACACAATTTTCCCATTTATCTTGAACATTACAAAGTAAACACCAAATTGGTATCTAATTAGGTATCAAAGAAATATTAAATCCTTTACATGACATTCTTTCTCTACCTTACCTACCTACTTTAAAATTCATATACTAATTATATCAATTCTACATAATGTAATTATCTAATGGAAAATCCTAACAAAAAAGAAATTGTCTATATATATATAT